ATGTCTTTGTAGGGTCTGGTAAAGGGATTTTTTTTCTTCAAGGTTACAAATAACGAAAGTGAAGAATTTCATGTAAGTACATAGTGAGGCAGCTGAGACAAAAAAAAAATAAAAAAATATGTAAATAACCTTGAAATGAATTATTTTGTTCTATTCACAACTAATAAATAGAAAAGATCTTTTCAAACCTCCATGTTTTTTAAGGAGGTGCTGAAACATTAATACTCAATGTCAAGCTTTCATTTAATTTTGAGCCGTCTGTCAGAAATAAAATCTACATTTCAACATGTAAGGGTTACGAATTAGCACCCTGTAGATTTGACATATGTTTTCATGCAGTGAGTTCTCTCTCAATTTCTTTCTAGGATTTCATGATTTAAAACACCGTCACAAATATAGTCTCCCAATATGAAAGTTAAGTACAGACTAATATGAAATCGGTCAGAAAGTTGAAATTACTGGCCTGTTAATCTTAATGTTTTAAGATAACATATTAGGACACACAACTGACTTTTAAAAAAATGTTAAATATAAATATTTTATATTAAGACATATTTTTAAATGTGCCCACCGCAATCCCAACATTGTCACCAAGAGTTAGCTCTCCTGTCGAGAGATAAAACTTCAGAGTAATTATAAGAAGGTTTCTTGTGAAGCTTTTTTCAAAGTTAGTTTTGCTGCTAAAACGTAGATACTAATTTGAAGTGAAGTACACAGCATTATCAGGTTAAAACAGTCATAAAAAGCATCAACTACTACACATTGACATGATCTGAGATCTTTTCTCTTCTCAAAATCAGGACAGTTTTTTTCTTCTTCCAGAAATAATTTGACCGATATACTTATTACAAGTTTGAAATTTGGGCCAGTTTATCTTTAAGGATGTCAGCACACACACAATAAATTAACTTACACAAATATTTTTTTCAGCCATTACGTCAACACAAATTTAATAATCATTTTAAAAATGAATACAGTAAGCATGTGATATATAGTCAAAATAAATGTAAATAAATTTGTGGGAAGGGAACAAAATTTGTGCATGGACAAAAGATACATAGGCTTTGTTCTGTTCTGGGTTTGAAATAATTACCGCATCAAACAATGGGTGGGACCACGAAACAAGACAAGTCTACATTTCATTACTGAATACTATCATCACCAGTTTCGGGTGGTTAAATCTATCTTAATGAAAATAATGTGAAAACAATGTCCAAATGACTTGGACACACAGAGTCCTTTATGTTTCATAAATGTGTGAAAACCAGGTTCACAACAAAATCAAATGACACACCAGTAACTATGAGAAAAAAAACTAAGTTTTTAAAAAATAAATATTTAAAATTAAATACTTTCTTAAGACTAAAAGTAAATGAAACAATGATTTGTTTTGGAGACTACTGCCAATCAAAGGGCCTTGAAAGGAACAGACGGATGGGAAAAAGGACACAACATTTGTTTTCTGCAAATCTTGTGTAATGTGCTGAAACACATCATAGCATTGAAATGGTTGAAAACACCAGACGTCAATGAAGTTTAATTATCAAGTGTTAAGCTATAACCCTTAGAGCTGATCCAGAAAGTAAATGCAGTTATTGGTGGTGGGAAGGTGTCGGGTGCGGTGAGTGGAGCAAAAGGAGAGTGAGGATGGTGCTTGCGTATCATCAAATTCAACAATTCCTTAATCTAGATGTCTGTCTGACATGACTGATACACAACATGCTGTCTGACATGATTGATACACAGCAAGCTGTCTGAGATGACTGCAATACAACATGCCTGCCACACACGATCTTGATCAATAAATTATATAATTTATAATACAAATCTGATTGTTTACATCAAATAAATCATTTGAATACAGCAGTAGGACCCCTAGCGACAGTGTTGTTCACTCTCAATATATCTGCTACTTAAAGTGTTCAATTATATGACCACACTGATCAACTTGGCCATTTATTATGCTCACATAGCACTCAAATATGAATTCATTTTTCATCATTTCATCTTATACAAAAAAAAAAAAAAAAAAAAAAAAAAAAAAAAAAAAAAAAAAAAAAAAAAAAAAATAAAATAAAAAAAAAAAAAAAAAAAAAAAAAAAAAAAAAATAACACTAAAAAATAAATTAATTTTTAATCATTTCATTTTAAAAAAAAAAAAAAAAAAAAAAAAAAAAAAAAACATAGAAAAAAAAATATTTAAAATATTATTCTACGATGAATTGGATTAAAGCAGATTGATTGAAACATATCTTTTTTTGTACTTACAGTTAAAAGCAATTCATTGCTTTGATCAACCAATCATAAGTCAACAAAACAATGTTTATAAATTATCTGCTCTTTGTTCACTGAGGAAAATGTATTATTTAAATTTTGTAACTGTTGGTTGAAACAAAAGATCTTATTCCCAGACCAGCAGACGTTGGCACATTGGCTATATAGCCCTGACATGTTTGTACATTGGCTATATAGCCATGACATGTCCAACACATACAAACAATCAAAACCATGACACAAGCATTGTTTATCATTAAACTCAATAAAATGTTTATTTTAACTTAAGTAAGCAAAATATTAAGTAGGTGAATCTTCTAGATTTACCACAAAGCTAGATAAGTACATCTCATCATATCAGTTTTAAATCTAGCAACATATACAGGATACTCCACTGATGGCCAGGTACAAGTTAACAAACCACACCTTACAGATTAGGCAGGAATCGGTTCTTGGAAGTCATTTTGTCAGGTTTTATTTGTAATATAAATATCAGGTACCTGTATTGCTGGTACATATCTAAGAATTGCACTGCTTGCCAATTTAACATGTAGGCAGGTTGGGAGGGGGGGGGAGGAGGACTGGGGGCATAAATGACACTAAAATGCATGATAAAACTCGAGGCAGGTAGACGTGTAATAATAAAACAAGGATAAGAAAACAGTTGGTAACAAAATAAACAAATAAATACAGTTTAAAATTTGGTAAAAATAAATATAGCAATGACTGAACAACAGTAAAATTGTGTAATGAGAAAATTAAATAAAAATGCTGGCAATAATAAAAAAAATATGGGCAGATTGGATTTTTTCCATTTTGTGACAAAATTGGAGTAAAAAAAAAATGTTGGATTGGATCCACATAAAAAAAAAAATAAGCAGGCTTTGAAATACTCAATTTTGCTTTTCATTAAATGATTGCACATGATCAAACATGAGCCCCACCCTCCATGTCAATGCAATGATAAGCCCCACCCTCCATGTCAATGCAATGATAAGCCCCACCCATTATAATGTCAAGCCATTTAAATTTAAAATAATTAATTTTTAAAAAACAGGCTACATTTGTAAAAATGTAAGCAATTTCAACACACCCAAATGTACATATAGTTGTGTCCTTAACATCAATATATATATATATATACACATGTTTTCAAAAAGCATATTAAAAATAGTCATTTTTTTTTTTGCTCAAGTTTTAAATGTACAGTAATTTTGGACAGACTGGTTTGTACATATTTTCAGTAATTGTACATATGACAAAGACAAGCCATATTTATGTACAAGCCAGGTCTCCCTTGCTTATTATGTACATATTCTTCATTAAGACATTCAACTTTGCATACCAATCTTACATACACAGAATTAGGGTTACACAGTGCGAGACACCAACAGTTCATGGTGCTCAAGTAAAGTCCCATAAGTTTTCATCAACAAATGTGTGATGCTACGACTAAATAATATGTAGCTTCCATTCATCTTTGCTCCTTTCCTTTGAGTTTGTGTTCTAACATTAATGGCACAATTTTTAAATTATTTTTCTGTTTAAAAAAAAAGGAGAAAAAAAAGGGGGAATTCAAACTCAGTTTGAGGTACTGATTGTTGTGGATGAAAATTGAAACCTAACAGTGGACATGTAGATTGCAGCCATGTTCAGTAACCTTGAAATATGACAAACAATATCAATATCTTAGCTCAAGAGATAAATAATACACTCTTCAGTCTAATGAAAGTGAAAAAAGCAAGCTCAAAACCTACAGGCCTTGTAATCATTGTCTCACACAGATTCACTGTTTCCAACTAATGTCTCAAACAACTGCATTGAACCATCGCACCTTCACTTTGACCAATTAATTTTAAAACATTGTCTTCCGGTCTATATCATGTATATCCCACTAGGTCATCTTCTGTACCCAAACAAATCAATTTCTGGCCATTTATTGGAACAATCACAAGTACTGAAGTAGTCTAAATGGAGTTGTTAAAAAAAATAAAAATAAAAACAAGAATTGCACATTCCCTCTACTAACATATGAAGTTAATACTGTGACAGGAAAAGTTATGCTCTTATTTAAAAAAAAAACCAAACATGATAAATTAACTATTAAGACAACAGTTGTATCAATTTCATTAAAGCCATCTGTTGAAGACTAGTTTCAGTTATAAGTTTAGTTAAATAGCACTTTGCTTGAGCTCAGTACAACACATTGTCCATAGATAAATGCATGACAAAGTAAAGTTCAAGCGGCTCCATGGCAGCATTGTTACATTGATGAAATTTTTGGAGATCCTTCTTAGAGCATCAGATCTATATGGTGATAAGACTCTGGAAGGTTAACAGCAGAAAGCCAGACACCTCAATTCAACACTATTTTTAGCCACGTTTTCCTGTTTCACACCAATGGGATAACAACTGACGAACAACTCATCTAAATTAGAATCACTGTTTTTCTTTTCACTGTTTAGCCATTCTTACATAATTATATTTTGTCTCGAGATTTACTTCATACACCATTGACTGGTTTTGATGCTACTGAAATAAGTTAACAGGTGCACTGTAAAGCTCATGCATGTGATCCATCAGCTCATATTTGTGATCCTTCAGCTCATGTTTGTGATCCCTCAGCTCATGTTTGTGATCCTTCAGCTCTTGTTTGTGATCCTTCAGCTCATGTTTGTGATCCATCAGCTCATGTTTGTGGTCCTTCAGCACATATTTGTTATTGATCACTTCTGTGTTCCGTAGAAAGGTTTTGGACCAAGTCTCATAGGCTGGGATTTCAGGTCAGGATTATGACCTCCAGGAGTCCTAGAGCTGTGTGGTATCTCCAAACTTAACCGCATGAGGTTGACCCGCTCTCTCCTCTGTTCACTTCCGAGGTCGGCCTGCGGAGAAATGGACCTGACGCGTGGTCTTACGGCAGGCGCTTGTTGAGCTGTTCGTGTTTGCCGAGCAGCTGGGACTTGTTGACCCGTTTGTCGTGCGGATGGCGCATGTTGAACCGCTGCCACTTGCTGAACAGTTTGTTGAACTGCTTGCTGAACCGACGGTGCCTGTGACTCCGAAGGAAGATCTGCCGGGTCGGGTTGAGAGCCGCCCTCTGACTTCTCAAATACCTGCCTTAGTTCTTTTATACTGTTTCTGCGTTCACTTTTCCTCGGGGAAGGTGGGGGTGTGTATGAACCTGGAGACGGAGGTGGGGTGCCAACGACCTGATTACTGAGTTTGGCATCCCTGGCCTGATTGTCTCTCTTTGAATCAGCCCTGCCACGTGTTGCCGTGGGCTGTGCCGTGTTGCCCGTGGGAAAGAGGTCGCCGCCCATGGCTGGATTGTACGAGGAAGACAGTGAGGTCACGTGACCGGCTGCAAACCTGACCGTGCTTCCCTCTGTTTGGTGTGTTGTGTCTGACTCAGAGGTTGATGATTCACTGTAAGTTCTGGACTTTGAGTTGCTTCGATAGCGAGGTGGCCTTGAGCTTCTCACTGCTGCAACTGGGGAGGCCGATGATGGCCCAGAACTTACTGGAGATGTAATACGGTTCAGTTTTTGGTCCTTCGTTGGCTTCACACTTGGTGACGATGCTCTCTGCCTAACATCTGTTGACGCCAGAGCCCTGTCTCTCGATGAACTCCGACCTCGTGAACCCAGAGCCCTGTCTCTTGATGAACTCCGACCTCGTGAACCCAGAGCCCTGTCTCTTGATGAACTCTGATCCTGTGAGACCTGAGCGGTCTCAGGGGGCCCAGCAGCTGATTTTTTAGGTGCCCTGCGCATCACAACCGCATTTTCTTGACCAGCTACAGCATCTTGACTCTGATCCCCATCAGTTTTAGATGGATGCCTTTCACGTGACCTGGAGCGGTGACCCCCCGATGACAGGCGTCGTCTGACCTGAGGGCATGAAGCGGGTAAAAAGGCGTCGTCATCAGTGGTGTCTGGATCGAGCTTGCCAACCTCCAGACACGGTGTCAGCTGTCCAGCCTGTCCCAACAAAGAGCCAGAGTAGGTCCTGTCCCTGTGCCTCGTGCCGGGGCTACCCGAACTGTCGGACACATTGGAGTCGGAGCCACGTTCAAATAAATCCATCAGACTTTGCATTTTCTTAGATCTCCTGGCTCGCAAAGACCCGGTGCACAATCCAAACATTCGCTGCTCCTCCAGGTCTTCCGGCACAAACAGATCGTGCCTCTCGGCAGCTAGCTGTAGGACTGAGTCATCAAGAGATGACCGACTGCCCACAAGGTCTGAGTACTGACCAGAACTAGAATCCTGGGAGAACCCCACATGTGAGTCCAAATATTTTGAGCGCCTGGGAAAAGACCTAGAGTCATAGTGAAATTTTCTTTTTGCCACGGGAGGGGGAGTTTTTTTCCCAGACGTTTCTTTTTTCTTCGAATCATTGGGAGAAAGTCCAACAGTGGCACTTGAGAATGTACATGGCACATTGGAGTTATCATTATCACCGGTAACACTGTGGTGACCAGACCTTGGCTCAGCCCCAGGATCAGAGTCAGGAGCTTCAGCCACTTGCCTCGGAGGCTGGCTCACTTTCTTGGCATGGACTGTTTGGATTTTCTTCTTAAGTTCCGGCTGAGACTCGATGACCAGCTTGGCCCCAATTTTATCAGGGATATCCTTGACCACGACAGTCCTTTTGGGCGTCGGTCCAGGTTCTTTCTTGGTAGCGTCTTTGCCAGAATTTTCCCGCTTGACAGATTGCCTGGTGAGCTCTATGACGTCGTCTGATGGAGGTATCCCATGCTGACCCCTGGAGTTACCGCTCGTTTTACGAGGCTTGGGAACAGGGCTGGGAATCTTGCTCTGTGGCTTACCCACCCCCAGACATGCCTCCGACTGCTGTGGGCTGGGCACTCTGTGTGACAATGGAATGCGAGAGGACTTACTGTCTGCAGTGTTTTTTGTGTCTCTGCCCCTGGGACTGGCCCCAGATTTGGATGAATCTGAACGAGCTCCTGCCCGAGATGTCGGGGACACTGTACGGAAGTCTGTGATTTTGGTGTCGGATGCCCTTCGAGTGTGCCCCGCACGTTTCCCTGAAGTTACGCTGGATGCTTCAGATCCTCTCCTGCTCTGGCCGGTCTTTGATGAAGAAGATGATGATGTTGACGATGATGAGGGTGAAATGTCAGCATGCATTGAGGCCGACATGGATCCTGAATAAGACGACCTGTATGACAAATTCCCAGCAATGTTTTTATGAGACAAGTCTGGGCTGGCTTTAGGACGAGGTATTTTAGAGAACGAGGTCTTCCTCCCCTGCAAGCTGGAATCACTTGTTGGGGTGAGACTGTCGGCAGCCGACCTGTCCAAGATGTCCTTCCCTTCTGGTGACATGAGAATCTCACGACCTCGATTGAGAACGTTCTGGACCTCCTCCTGTTCCAGTTCTCCCCTGGAACTCTCCAAACTCACAAACCTGGTCTCCACGTTGTCTCCGTCCACACTGGATGACCTGATCAGCCTCCTCTCTCTTATCATGGGTGAACTCGGTTCTGAACCCAAGACTTCCAGGGAAGTCTCTACCTCCATGGACACGGCCCCCTGTTCATCCACATCCGTCCTGACATCATGTGACACCAGCACAGTGAATGAATCCTCCGCTGGGGAGTTTGTGCGGGAACTACCTGAATGGGGGGACTTCAGGTCATCCACCAATTTGTTACAGAGATTATCCACTTCCATTGCCACCTCGTCGTCATGCGCGGCAGTCTTGCTACGACCTGCATGTGGCCTGTTACTCGTTCTTTTTCTTGCCCCCTCGTCTCTCCTTGTGTGTTTCTCAGAAATGCTATCTTGGCTATAGTAGTCTGTATCAGACAGACTCTCACACATCCTCTGTGCTGCTGCCAGGGCCTGACCAGCCACTGACCTGTGTCTAAGGCCCATCTCTTCCAAACTGAGCTGACCAGCTTCCGCTGACCTTGATGACAAAGCTGCATCGTAGCTCGTGCTCCGGAGGTTTCCGCTGATCACCACCTGGTCATTGTTGCTCGTGCTCCGCAAGTTTACCTGGTCGTCATCAGTGGAAGTATTTCTGTAAAACTCAAATGAGTTACAGGTTTGATCAGAGATGCAGTTGTCCGTGTTGGACTTCTTGAGGGTGGTTTTCTTCTCCATAACAATGTCAGACGAGGTGTGGACCTGAGGCAGTGACGGTGACTGGTGCATGGTGACGGGCTGGGAAGGTGGACCAGACACGGATGCTGGGATGTCCATGCAGAACTCATCTGGGTGGTACAAAGCCAGCTGTAACGGGACATTACTCCTGCCAACTACATCGCTGGAACCACTCTCCACGGGGTGGGTGGTGGACTGGACTAAATCTGGCAATGCTTCCCTGACCGGTGTGGCCAGTGGACTCCTCATGTTGCTCCCCAGCAGCATGTTGGCATGAGAGGCATCGGGAGACTGGAGGCTACTGTTGGAAGACTCCCTGCTCAGTCTGACCCTCTGGCTCATGAACCCGGCGGCACACAGGCTGGACATGCGCTCTGACTCCACATCATTCATCTGTGCCCCATCTGAGAACAGAGCATTGGATCGCCATGGGATGTTATCAGCACCACTTTGATCATCCTCATCCTGGTAGCCTGCCCCTGACGGCAAGTTGAGTTCAAACCGTGGTGATATCTGAGGCGACCTTTGTTCCACTCTTGGGGAGTGCTGACGTCTAACAACTTGGTATGCAGCCACATCTCCTTGAGGCAGGTCAACACTTATTGACCCTAAGATTCTCCTATCTGCCGGGTGTGACCCGGGCAGGGCGCGTGGCGGTCCTCCACCACCCCTCCCTCTACTACCACTACTTCGGGGGGATGACAACATGGAGGGGACCTCATCCTCTTCCGGAGAAGCCACTTCATCAAACTCTTCAGAACTTTTGGATGAAACAGATGATGACGACGATGAAGATGATAATCTGTTCCTACACATATTAGCAATGTCACTTCGACCCTCTGAACTCTCTAAGCCAAACTGGGTCCTGGGGCTAGGCAGCGGGTGGTGATTGCTATCAAATAAGGCACCTTGACTTTGCACACCAGTAAAAGGTTGACCAGGATCTCTCCGCTGAGATCGCGGTTTAACTACCAGTGGGGTCTCCACCATGATGTGATCATCTTCCTGTCTGTGAGTCTGTCTGAATCCCACTTCTGTGCGGACTCTCAAATCTGAACTCTGTTCATAACTGATAAACTCTTGTGTCTCGCGAAGCTCCGTTCTACCACCAGGGGGCGTGCGAATAAACTGCTGATGGCTGCTGGCAGTCGAGCTTTGTAAATGTCTGATGTGATCGGGGCTGGTGGCATTTGAGCTTTGTAAATGTCTGACGTGATCGGGGCTGGTGGCAGGCGAGTGGTGGGTTGAAGCAGCAGTTTGTGATGTACCCCCAGCAGTGCTAGAGATGGGGCTCAGCATGGTGAGGTTCCCTAGAGAGTTCGAGCTGACGGCATCTGTGACAAAAGTCAGTGAATCATCAGAGTCTGAATGGCTGTATGACCTGGAGCTTTGGTACTTTGCCGTTGTGGATTTTTTCTCTGGTTGCGGACTAGAAAAAGTGTTCAAAGGGAAGTTACTGGAAACCTGAGTTATAATGGATAATTCATCGTGGTAAGTTGTTTTCTCATCATGCACTTTAACAGACTTAGATGTCCTGACCTCGGAAAAATTCTGGGGCGTGACTTTCACTTCCGGACTTGTACTAAGTTCAAGATCAGAAGCCACCAATCTATGAGACCCTGTTTCATGTTTAAATGCTACATCCATCTGACGGTTAATTTCACGCAAAGTTCTGGTCATTAAATGGTCGGTCTCCGTCAGGCTGTCCAAACTCGTGCTCCTCCTACGTCTGGGGTCCGAGTCATCTGTCCTCTGAGTAACTCCACTCGAGGGGGCGACTCCTTCCTGACCGTTGGTGAAACTGGAGAGAGACATGGACAGCTCACTGATCGTCACCGAGGATAACATGTCGGACTGGCTCTCGGTTACATTCTCTAGAGACCTGGCGATGTCGCTGGGTACGCTCAAACACTTGCTCATGGCCGCCCCTGCCATCCTCATGGCTAAACTTTCATCCAGTCCCGTCACTTTGCCATCCAAACTGTTAGAATTACCAGGATGCAAGGACCCGCTGTGCTGGTCATGTGACCTGTTGGGAGGAGACACTTGAGAAGATGATGAAAAACCTTCATTTTCCAGACTGTTCAGAAGGTCTTGTAGATTATCCATGTCCTGAGATGTTGCCCTGGCGCTAGGTATAAACTCTGCATGTCTGCGTACAACCCTGGTTGAGCTCGGGGCACTGCTGCTGGATTTATCAACCCCTTTGTGATAGATAGGGGCATGCGATGATCCAGCTTTTCCGCTAGCTCCTCCCTGAGTAACCTCGATCCTCCTCCTCCCCACAACAGTTGCTCCCCCTGATTTATCTTTCTGACCCCCATCAACACCAGAATCCTCCAACCCAAGCAGCTGTTTAACACTTGCTTGACCACTGAACTCCCTCGGTGATGTGTTCCCAGTGGCAGGGAACTCTGTCTGTTTGGGAGGAGCCGACGGTGAAGCCTGGTTGACGGAAAACTCAGTTTCCTTCTGTGATGATGAGACCAATGTCGTGGTGGTGGTTTGCACACCAGAGGAGAAGACAGTCTCTTTGGTGTACGTGGCGTCATCACCCACCCGGTAGCCCGATGTATCCCCTATACCATGTCTAGGGAACAGTACAGCATTCAAAGCAAGCCTGGTGTCAATCTGGTCCAAAACTTCCTGCATGTTGCATCCCGAACTGGACACCGACATTGTCCCCTGGCTGCCAGGTGTACCGACAGCTGCCAGGTCGTCATCTGATAGAATCTCAGCGTAGTCATGGAAACGTGAATAAAAATGCCTCATCCTGCTGTCTTTGTCATCATTGTCGTACGGACTGCCGTCCACTCTCCCTTGAACATCACTTGATGACCTCGTCACCCTCTTTGAGCCAGGAGACTGGGGCAGCTGCCGAGGGGAGGTCGGGGATAAATCATCTTCGCTAGACAACGCCCCTTTGGCTTTCTTACGGCCCACGGGGGGCGTCTTGGCACTGCGCTTGAGCGGTGACGACGTCAGCTCCTCGTTGGATCTGACCGATCTGGTTTTCTCTGCCACCTGAAGCAGCCGGGAGTTGATGGCTGCATCGATGTTGACCTCCCCTTCAGTTTTAGGGTAGATGAAGTCATCCAAGCTTATGTCCATGTCCTCACCGCTGGACATATCTTCCCCAGTCACGCTCGAGCTCCTCTCTTTGGTAGATTTCCTCTCCTGCCGTGGTGTGTTGGGGGCCGATGGTATTCTTCTGTGCAAAGCTTTACGACTGGAGTCACCTCGTTTGAATGATGAATGTTGAGATGCATCCGTACCATCTGTTTAACAAGAGGGAAAAAAAGAAAGAAAGGTTAATTAGGATTCATAACAAAAAGTAATAAAAAAATAAAATAAGAGCCCCAGGATGGCAACATAACTGTCTCTTGTCTTATTGACTTTGGGATAAGAGCCCAAGGATGGCAACATAACTGTCTTTTGTCTAATTGACTTTGGGATGAGAGGCCAAGGATGGCAATATAACTGTCTCTTGTCTTATTGACTTTGGGATAAGAGCCTCAGGATGGCAACATAACTGACTCTTGTCTAATTGACTTTGGCATAAGAGCCCAAGGATGGCAACATAACTGTCTCTTGTCTTATTGACTTTGGAATAAGAGCCCAAGGATGGCAACATAACTGTCTTTCTAATTGACTTTGGGATGAGAGCTCAAGGATGGCAACATAACTGTCTCTTGTCTTATTGACTTTGGGATAAGAGCCCAAGGATGGCAACATAACTGTCTTTTATCTATTGACTTTGGGATAAGAGCCCAAGGATGGCAACATAACTGTCTCTTGTCCTAGCTGACCTCTTATTTGTTAAACTGGTTAAACAGCCAAGCAACAGCAATCAACTTTAAATATAGATTTTAGTAGTAATTATAAAATCCCTTACCAACAGCATCACTGGAGTCCTGGGCGTTCTGTCGACTCCGCAGGACGACTGAAGCATCAGAGGACAAGGAGCGCTTGTGAGACAGTTGAAAGAGTTGACCTGGAATATGGATTTTATAGATGTGAGACAGTTGAAAGAGTTGACCTGGAACATGGATTTTATAGATGTGAGACAGTTGAAAGAGTTGACCTGGAACATGGATTTTATAGATGTGAGACAGTTGAAAGAGTTGACCTGGAACATGGATTTTATAGATGTGAGACAGTTGAAAGAGTTGACCTGGAATATGGATTTTATAGATGTGAGACAGTTGAAAGAGTTGACCTGGAACATGGATTTTATAGATGTGAGACAGTTGAAAGAGTTGACCTGGAACATGGATTTTATAGATGTGAGACAGTTGAAAGAGTTGACCTGGAACATGGATTTTATAGATGTGAGACAGTTGAAAGAGTTGACCTGGAACATGGATTTTATAGAGATGTCAAAACCAAGCTGAAAAAACATCAGAATCTGCCCTGTGGCTGCTTTCCAACTTGTTATTTGTTACTAAAGGCAATGATCTGCTTTCCAACTTGTTATTTGTTACTAAAGGCAATGATCACAAATTGGAAACAATCAGAAAGGTAAATAGAACATTTCTGTTGTTTTCATCAAAATACAAAGAAAACTTGGCCCAAGCTACACAGAGATCCTGACACAATACAAACATACCCAAACCTGTACAGAGATCCTGAAACAATACAAACATACCCAAACCTGTACAGAGATCCTGACTCAATACAAACATACCCAAACCTGTACAGATATCCTGACACAATACAAACATGCCCAAACCTGTACAGAGATCCTGACACAATACAAACATAACCCAAGTCCACACAGAGATCCTCACACTATTCAAACATCCCCAAACCTACGCAGAGATCCTCACACTACACAAACATTACCTTTCCCAGACCCGGGCGACTCCTCTTGTTTGTTGTTACTTGGTTTCACTGCAGTGTTTTCCGTGTTGCTGCGAGAAGCTCTGCTGCTAATACTGCTTCCCCGAGATGAGGCTGTATTGCTCATGGAGAACAGCGACTCGGCACTCTTGGCACTGCGGAGGTGTCGCTTCCAGTTGTGGACATCCTCTTCTGTTAGAGCTTTAGCTTGGGCAGGTCCAAGGGTAACAGATTCTGAAAGTAAGGATAAGGCCAAGGTCTTGGTTGTATGAATAAATACAAGACACATTCCTTTTTGCTATCAACTACAAAATAAACTTGCAACTTTGTGCTTCTACTTGGACAAATTATACCACTTCCAGGATTTTAAAATACTTTTGAAAAGCACGGGTGAACTTTGAAATGACTTTTAACATTAATTGAATGACAACTAGTACACTTAACAACATTATCTTTTAAACAAAATTGTAACTGCAAGGCAAACGATCACGATACCAGTTCTCTGACCTTGACTGGACTTGCGAGCTTTCTTGACGGACCCACTTCTAGGTTTTGAGAAGATGGACTTCCATCCCCCGCCACCGGCTGTGGCACCGCTGCTGTTGCTTCCAGTGCTACTGATGGAAGCCGATTTCTTGTTCCCTGGGACTGGTTTGTTTTCTTTTGAAGAGCTTGTATTCTTCTTTCTGAAAAAAGCACATTAAAGAAAAGGTGAAATAATACATAGATATTTAAACATACATTAAAAATGTTACAAATTCTGCAATGGTGACATGTCTAATCCTGGCTCATCACAAAATAAGTAAAAACAAATTTTTTGAATGGTTCAAGCGAGCTAAGGAAATATAAAACCAAATTTAAATGATCAATTCTATTTTTAATATGTGCCCTGTAGTGTAGTAGTCCATGATTTCTGAATCTAAACAAAAGTTTAATAAAAGTGCGTCTAAAATAAGATCATATTTTTTATCAGTGTCCCAAAACGATGAGCAGCTTTATCAACCAACTCTGCCAATCAGACTGGTTAAAAAACAAAATACAAGTGGTGAGAAAAATAATCAAAATATCATTTGACCATGACCAGACCAGGTTGGGGGACAATGGGGGATAAAACACTTAATGCAATACTTCTAGCCTGTTGTAAGAAAAATTTGATGGATCTAATATTTATTATTCAACATATCATTCAAAACAGTTTTTAAAATAAATAACAAATTTGGAATCAAAGTGTGTAATCACATCTTATTATCTTAAGCAAGTCAAACAATAACAAATATATCCATGTTTTAATCTTTTTTTAATGCATTTAGAATTTTGTTGTTCCTCTTAGCATTGCTGTAAGACTACAGTTATTTCAGCCTAAATAACAATTTTTTAGAATTAAAAAAAATAACCAAACTTGGTGGGACTAAAACGTATCAGAAAATAATGCAACCATAATTTATTTCCAAAAGCAACTTAACATGGCAGCAATGTACATTAACTGATCCCGAAACCAAATTAAAAACAAAACAAAAAACGTACAAAGCAAATATGCTGAGAAAGAAAACTGAATGTCAACAAAATAAACACTTTTATAATCCAGGGTTGAAGCTGAAATGTTAACTTTTTGAACTTGGTTACCCAATGGACTCCACTGGCAGGGGAGAGAACCGTGACGGCAAGGGACTGAACCGTGATGGCATCAGTGTTAGACCAAGCTTGGCAAATTTGCTCAGTGCTGGTCTGCAAGGTGAGGTTGGAGGGAAGCTTACCAAAGGGTTTTGAGATTTTAACTTATTTCAATTAAGGTAGGTCCTTGGGTCTTATAGAGATCTACAATAGCAAGTATTTCTCTGAGAATACCACTAACAATATTTTTTAAAAATATGGCTATTTGACTTTTAATAGGATTTTAAGTTATATTAGAAGACTTGATGATTGAGTAATTTTAACTTCAAATGTAAACACAGACATTGTCTGAGCTGCAGATAAATAATAAAGACATGGCATAGTTCAGTCAGTCAGGTGCATTGGCAGCCACTGCCAAGGACAAATAAACCAGAACAGCTGACATGTAGATGATACAAGTAATGGTGTCAATCTGACACAATCAGTACTAGGCTGTTTATACATAATAAAAATGCATTTTTATATTAAATAACAAGCTCTTTTTAATAGGCTCATATACCATCTTTTAGCCAAGCTCAATTTTGTAGTACAGTAATAAATACAATATAAGTATCATTGTGTGTAGATTTATGAACTGACTTTCTCTACTTCCAACCAAGTACACATATACCTAATTTGCACATAAAACATGTAGTCTACAGCTATAGAACTGCAGACTGGTATGTTTCATTATGTGCAATAAAAATGTATACACGCATAAATCTTTAACTACTTACTTGTACCCTGGTAGGTCTATCACCGTGTGGTATTTGGATGGCAGGTTTTTGGGGCCACCTCCAACATCAATGAACTTCTTCGGTGCCAGATGGCCAATAAAAGCCCTCTCCCGGGCCTCCTCCAGGGACAGCAGCCGTGTGGGGGTGGAAATGGCCAGGGATTTAGGCCTGGGCTTCTTCTGTCCCTCTGAGGAATTTAAACAGAACAGATCAATGATGAGACACTGACATTATAAAACCCATTGGTTGCTAGACATTTGTTAGTAACCTTCAAGTCAGTCAAGGAATGTTCAAATTGAACTACATGGAACTGACAGACCTGCCCTTCACAGGTAAATGTTGAACACACAAGAAACACATCACTGAAAGGTAAATATAATTGTGACAGTATCAAATATGTACCCATGTTAGGCTAAACGCCGTAAGCCAGCACTTACTTCCATTATCCGTGTTGCTGTAGTTGGGCATCTTGTCACTGAAGATAATGTCACAGTAACAGATGAGACACTCTGTGACGACAGCCTGTATGCCAACACCCTGCAAGGCCGCAGCCCCTCCGCCAGCCTCCAGCTCTTTGGACCTGCAGGTCAATATGATTAAATATGATTATAGTTGTAATCATGAACATTGTGATCTCTAATTTAAATGCCTTGAGATGGTGAACAGGGGAAGTTAGATTCAATCCAAGGGAAGAGATCTTAGGAAAATTTAATGTGAATAATAAATCTGTTTTATATTCAACTGTTCCTAAAACATAAAGAAATTCAACCCTGTTTTTAGCCTGTTTATCACACGATGTCTTTCACCATTCACTCAATTTAGCATTCAATAATGTTTAGTTATTTCAATCATTTATGTTATAAGATTCATGTCCCATCTCCTTATAACTAATGAATCATGCAGTGGACTGATTTGATTTTTAGTTAAGGGTTGCATAAAAAAACTTGATCCAAAGACCTGGACAAAAACCTTTTAAGTTTCTAAAACTTTTCTGAATGTGGACATTTTTTTATATTTTTTTTTGTTGTGTTCTATTTTTCAGCAATTATATTGAAGGGGACAATTTAAAGTCTTTAAATTTAAAAAGAAATCTAGTTTTTTTTTTCTTCTCCCAGCTTGGCCCCATGGCCCAATTATGCTGTACCTGAGCAGATTAGGAGCCCACACAATGGCCAGGTTTTTGGAATGCATTTCTGTCTCATGGCCATAGGCAGCCACTCTGGCAAGATGTCTCATCAAGTATTCTGTGGTTCGGTAGTGAGGGGGAGGCAACTGCTGCACTACATCATGGATTTTCAATAGCTTATTATCCTCATCTCTTACAGCATCCTGAAATAAGATTTGAACAAACCTTTTTAAAAATCAGATAGACTGTTGTTAAATCATGTTTTCTACACTCTATAAATCCTGGTACCTTCTACACTCTCTAAATCCTGGTGTTTTCTACACTCTCTAAATCCTGGTATTTTCTACACTCTCTAAATCCTGGTGTTTATCAACGACCATTTCCTTGTTATTTAGTAATTCAACATTTATGGAGTCAGCCATGTTTATTTCATTTTATATTTGATAAAATAATTTAGCTTAAATAAAAACTTTTTTTAATACATTTAAATTAAATTTTTTTAAAATTTTTTAAACCTCTTATATGTGTATTTATAAGTTACAATGCTCGTTATGTCAAGTGTTTTTTTTGTTTTGTTTAAAACAACTGAGTATAACCAAGGTTAGTGGTGTCCGTGACTGGGTTACCTTCAGCCAATCAAACTCATTGCACTTTTTTAGAATAGACGACTAATAAAGAACGACTTACAGCAAACTTGTCATACAGCTGGTAGGTGAGAAGTGGGTTGGGCAACTCTCTGAAGTACATCTTGAGAAGGGAACTAATGCTGTGAATATCCTGAAGGTAACAGTCTTCTGTCAAATCTGGGACACGGTCCTCATCAAATGCCAGCCTGAGGATACGAGAAGCTCTTAAATTAAGGAAACCTGGGATTGGCCCAAAAACATTAACTAAGAAATTGCCAACAGCGGCAGCCGTTTCAATGTTGTTTGATTTTTAACTCCTCTATAAGTTGAGTATCTAGATCTTTTAGCTAAGTTGTTCCTTAAGTTCAATTCAAATATTTCCTGCAGGTCCAATTTAATTATTTCCTATAGGTCCACTTTAACCCTTTACCGGGCAAAAAGGTCAAAAACGTCTTTAGTACTGAACGGGCAAAACATCCAAAAGCGTCCATGACGACATAGAGTTGTAAACTCGTGACCTCCGAGTCTTTGCGAGACTTCCTATTGTTTACATCCGGTTTTTCCGATAGCTGGATAGAGTGGGCCCCAGTTAAAAGTATTTAATATATTTTTTTTGTAGTTTTAGGGGTTTAAAATTTTTTTTTTTCGAAATGGATTTTGCCGATTATGTGCCGATCATTCAAGTGATAGCGGAGATTTAGCTGGATTCAATTTAAGTGACCTTGAAGTGCACGAATTGACTGTAAATTGGAACTAGATATTAATATTATTAGTAATATTAGTGAAATCTGGGTAGTAAGCAGTGTTGAATTTTACAAACTTCGATTTTGTGGCAGTGTTTGTAAATAGCAAATAGATGACTCACAATCACATATAATATTTGTTTTTTGCAAATATTTGTGTTCATATGAGGATTAATGGCAACATGTGAGTAAAATTATAAATCTGCATTCATTTTCTTTTATTTTGCCTTTTATTTCACACAAATTTGTTGACTAACACCTTAGATTTGATTTTTTTAATAACATAACCCTAAATCTTACTAAAAAACCGGAGAAATGGTGTCCGTTCAGGACTAGCAACAGGAAGTACCTCTGCCCTGTAAAGGGTTAATTATTTCCTATAGGACCATATTAATGATAATTTGTAAGTTGTCTTAAAATCGGTTTAAATTTTTTTCTCGAGGGGGTATTAGCCCTGCTTTGCATCTTTAAGGCATCAGGCTGATTAGAGCCCTGTCTGAAATAGTCGTGGGGTGGGCAGGAACTTTAAGGCATCAGGCTGATTAGAGCCCTGTCTGAAATAGTCGTAGGGTGGGCAGGAACTTTAAGGCATCAGACTGCTTAGAGCCCTGCATGAAATAGTCATAGGGTGGGCAGGAACTTTAAGGCATCAGACTGATTAGAGCCCTGTCTGAAATAGTCGTAGGGTGGGCAGGAACTTTAAGGCATCAGACTGCTTAGAGCCCTGTCTGAAATAGTCGTAGGGTGGGCAGGAACTTTAAGGCATCAGGCTGATTAGAGCCCTGTCTGAAATAGTCATAGGGTGGGCGGGAACCAACCTGAGCTTCTGTATATTTGAAGTGATGCCAGACAGCCGGTAGATACCGTGGACTATACCAAACTCTTCTATTATGTCAGTACAGCTTTTCAAAAGCAATGGCACTGTGGGGATGACACCAAGACAAACAAGATATTAGTCATACATCAAACACTAAAAGACAAATTAACTTGACTTGAATCTTAAAATTTCAATGGTAACTTGAAATTAACAATATTAATAAATATATATAAACATATTATTTTTCAAATATTCTGATACTTGAATGTTCTCAAATGTTCTGCCAGTTCCAGAGTGAACCAAATCCTCTAAAACACTTCAGTAAAAAGTTACCATCGTGTCCTGAATTCAATAAATGTTCGCCAAGGTCACAGCCAAATACCCTCTCCTTGACAATCCCCGACTGTTTGAGTTGGTTGCGAGGTGGGCGGTGTGAGAAAAATGTGCGGAGAAAAGACAGCAGTTTCCCATGTTTTCTGATCACTAAAGAAATAAAATCATTTGGTTGAAAACTATGCACAATCATCAATTCGACATCTCTGGAATATGGTCAAAGTTAAACATTTTTTTAATGGTGAACGTTCAGAATTTAATTTTTGGCTTGTGCTGGAAAGAACTGTATTGGTACCGTAACATGTACAAAGAATTTTATTTAGCTGTTTCCTTTGCATCTGTAATAAGAAAATTACAAAAAATATTGCATCTCTTTCAGTGGATATAAATTAGTTTAAGACCACTTTAATTATTCCTTTACAAAATTATAAGTTAACTTTAAGTTCCCAGACTTATTCAAATATTCATTTTCACCAAAAGTGAATTAACACTGAAAACCAGCAAAACATAAAATTGCCCACAGTTCAAATAAAAAGGAAACTTTGCAGCCATTGTATTATCTACTGAGGATAAAATGTGTTACCAATTAGAAAAAAAACATTTACAACTTTAAAAAAAAAAGTATTCAACATAAGAGTTGTTTTGGATGAAATTAAAGAGGAAATAAGTTACACACTTCAAGTGGAGCTATGTACTTCTTTAAGAAAACAATAATTATTATTATTATCATTTATTAATGTTAAGATTGGTTTAATTTTTTAAAAATTTCTTTGAAAATATCAATTTTCAAAGAAAATATTTTTTTTATTAAGTAAAAATAATATAAATTACTTATGCAAGCAAGATAACATCAAATGATAAAACCAACTAAAATAATGAACACTCCCTCTAAGTTCATCTAGAAATCACTTCACCCCTAGTTTATTTACCACTGTTGCTATCATTCATGTCTTCCATCAAAGCTGGGGAGAAAAATCCAGTGTGCTCGATTATAGTATCCCAACAGCTTATCATAAATTTCCTATAGAAACCATTTTTCTTAGTTTAAAGATTTGTAGACACCCTCCAATAAATGCTTGATAGATTTTGAAGGGAGAAAAAATAAATATTGTTTGTAACAGGAATTTACATGGGTTTTAAAAAAAATTGTGGTGAGTGAAATAGTTTGAGCCATTATTATTGAGCCATGGAAGCATGGAAACTGATATTATGAACTAATGTTATGAAATAATTACATCTAGTAACCTTTGATTAGTTCTAAGCAAGTAGTCAGTTTAACTTAGCCTTCCCTAAAGTTGATATTTAAATCTATTAGTCAATACAGCCATTGAAAACTCATACAAAAATCTCAGCAGTTACTGTGTTCGAAACTAAGGTTATTCAGATCTACAAGGCAAGGGTAAGCCACTTGGTGTTTTCTACTGTGATCTTCTCATGAAATCATCTCTTACACTCACTTTGATTACATTTAAAAACTAAGAAACAACAGATTGTAAGTTGTTTTTTTTGTTTGTTTGGATGGACCAATCGCTGCCATTACAAAATTAGTAAGCGACTTTGACCAATTGACTTTTTGTTTCTTTTCCATAAGGGCAACCCTTCCCAGCATGTGACTGAAATCCTTATTTTTAAACCTGGCCTTATTTTTTGTTACTGACTGAAGTGAATATTTTCTACCGCTCCTGTTCGCCAGTGCACACATGGCAATAACTAAGCAGATGTTACTGTGTGTGAGTTACCATGCCTAGGGTTAGATCTAACACTGGCTAACACCTGCCCACGACAGACCCACTGGTTAGTAATTAGGTAAGTAATGATGAAGATAATGACTAAGATAATAATATGTGCTAGAGACTTGTAAAATGATGGTGGATATATATTTGGGATACCGTACATTCATATGATGTTGAATTTAACAAAGGAGTTTAAATGATCAAGAAATAAATACTGAATATGTGAATATGATGTATTAATATTTATATAGGTAGATATATTTAAGTTATGTAGCAAGCACTGCCCATTGAGATGTACAAGACACCAAAGAGGGTTCTCATATTGATAAATGGTAATGGAAGTAATTGTAATTTTTTTTTAATACTGAAGTGAAATCCATTTAAGGACACATATAATGACAAAGATAAACTTGGTGATGTTTGTATGTGTGTGTAGACAGGTGAGAAGTTAACTAAAGATGAGGAAATGGTGTAGATTAATATTAACAGTAACAACAACTAGTAAGTGTGCAAACAAAAGCTCAACCAAATACACAGCAAAGCAAGGCCACTCCGGAATCAAGGGAGATTATCAGTTCTAAGTGATGCAGGTTACATAGGCACAATTCTGTCAATCAATGCCACTCTACAGCTTACTGCTGAAACTGTGGGGCACACAAGCTCTCAGAAATGCAGGTTAAAATAGTCACAATTCTGCCAATCAATGCCACTCTACAGCTTACTGCTGAAACTGTGGGGCACAGAACCGCTCAGAAATGCACATCAACATAATCCCCCTATAAGATCCACATGTCTATTTGTTGTTTCCACAGAGTCTCAATCTAGGGCTGGGACTCCATAACAATTCTATCCTTAAAGGTCAGACACATCACTGCAGCACGAAGATTTCAAGTTTTGCTATAAACATGCCATTATTTAACACCGGTCCTGTATGGGGCATTTGTAAAACTCAACTCATTAGAATTGATGAAAAAACAACAACTTGAAAGCAACTGAATGATAAATAGATCTATGTATAGATATGGTGACACGAAGGCTGACATAGAAAGAAACAGTCCAATAAAATGGCAAAGGGTAAACCCCCAACTATAAAACTTAAAGAGATTCAGTTACCAGATCAATGATGTCTGGCAAGAGAAAACATTCGTTTTGGAAGTTTCCAAATGGACCAGAAAACCAAACAATCCCACAGAAGATCAACACATTTTGTGATAAAACAAGAAATGATTCTAAACTTTGAAAAGTTGGGCTCATTCTCCTTAGATGAAACACCCTTGGTCAAGAAGACAATTATAGAACCATTGGAATCACATAACCATTTCTAAAGAATGACTGAGCAGCTCTCAAAGGAGTTGACCATGACCAGAATAAGTTCTGGCCTGATCATCATTATCCTAACTGAATGTGTTGAAACAAATTAAAAGGTCCCTGCCAACTGAAAATAAGAGTGAGGCTACGAAGAGTCCTGTGCTGAAACCAAGTGAGCGGCATGCTGACAGGGCGGTAATGGTCGCCGACATGCACAACGGCAGCAAAAAAAAAAAACAAACCCAGGTGAGGCAGGCACACTAGCAAACAGAAAAATATACAAACAACTGACTGGTCGGCGATGAGTCGGGATAGGACAACGATGAGGACGACAGCGAAAATGTCCCAACGGAACTAGCCGTTGTTGAAGTAGAGGACCGTGATGGTGAGGGTGACGGTGTGGATGATGAGGGTGTGGTTGTTGGTGTGATGGTTGGTGTGGTGGTCGTGGGGATGGATGGCTGCTCCACCGGGTTCTCACAGGGTTTCCGAGATGCCGCCGCCGTGGCCAGAGGTTCTGGACAGCAGGATGTCATCGAGGCTGGAACCTTGTCTCCAATGAGTTCCACACATTCACTGGGGAAAAATCCAACCTGGGGAAAGAATATTAAATCCAGTCAGAATATTTTTAATTCAATAAGTTTATTGTTTCATACGTTTCTTAATTTAATAAGTTTCTTAAATTTCCTCACACTAATAAATCATGAATTTCAACTGTTAAAATTCACAAAACATGATGTGAAGTAACTTCTATAAAATTTTATAAGCTTAAGATCTGGAGAAGTAGGCTAGGAGCAAAACTTGCCTCGAATCCCCTCTTTCCCCGCCACCAGATGGTATCTTCGGCTGATGGCATGTCAATCACTGAGATCATGTCGCCCACCTGTTGGATAGACATGCGGATTCATTGCATACAATTTACATTTAATGACATGAACTACTTTGATCTCACTGATCATATCTAATGGCATGAGCTACTTTGATATCACTGATCACATCTAATGGCATGAGCTACTTTGATATCACTGATCACATCTAATGGCATGAGCTACTTTGATCTCACTGATCACATCTAATGTTGTAAATTACACTATCACAATTAACAGATTTTAAAGGTCTATACAAGTTCAGCAGCATGGGACATAACTCTTGCCAAACATGCATCCCTATAATCTAATGTACTTTAAAATCAATACATTCATTCAAGTAATGCTCTACATTCAGAAGATCTCACACACATTTGATGAAAAAAGCCTTTTCTAATATGTCTCTTAGAGCATTGAAACATTTCAAAAACATCAATTATATTAAATTATAGCAATTCCTGAAATAAATTCCAAACGATTGGAGAATATTTTTTAAAGCTTAAAGATAAAATTAAAAGTCAAAATGGAGATATATCCAGGAGTCGAGTCGGATAAAAAGTCCAGGATAAAAAGTGAGTGAACGCAGCCAAGATCTCTCCAACAAATAGGTATTTATTACTTAGGGGAAAAAAAAGGACAAGATTGCCGTTTCCTTCATAACGTTAGAACATCCAGTACCTGAAGAGATATTTCATCGGCAGCCTGGGCATTGTAACGTTTGATGACATGGGCAGCAGCTATGGCAGGCGTGTTGATACCCGAGTCATCAGTAGCCACAAGTCGATGGCCCCTGTTGTCCATCTGAGAAAGACAGGACAGATCAAATTAAAAAAATAAATAAAAACAACAACAAAATACAATAAAAAATAAAATAAAGAATGGCCAACTATAAATATGACACTGAGATTAGTTGCATCAGATTGCCACAATTGGTTTGGTACAGGGCTTTCAGGTGATGCACTTTTAAAAGAACACTCAGTAAATAACACTGAAAACTATCAATGTATCTGATTTTCATGGGTAATGTGATTGAAATAGCATTATTTTAATTTTAAATTAAATATTCAAAAAAATATTTCAGTGCTGGGAGATCCAAGCAGGACTTGAACTCAAGCAGTAAGAGTATAATACTAACCATGACGGCAGGACCAGATGATTACAGTGTTAGCCTGAACAATGCTAGAGCTTACTGACTTGATAAAAGATAGAAAGAAGTCATTAATTTGTTTGACAGTTATCCATATAAACTATTACCTCCATCCAGCTGAGCACTGACCCACAGTTGACCATTCCACCAGCAAGTTCAGAAAAATGGCTGAGGTAGGCCTGTAATAGTGTTTGGACCTCCTGAAATAAACAAAAAATGCTTTCAATTAACTCATTGAAATGATTTTAAGTGTTTGAGGTCCAAGCAGGTTCATGATCCCTGGATTATTTCTCCTGTAACCAGATTCCATAGATTTTTAGTTTTAACTTTAGACAAATTTACTCTCACTTCATTGAATTTATCATTTTGCCAAATCAGTTAAAACTAATCATTTTATGGTTAGGGTCAACACAACACGAGGAACTGTATTAAAGGGTCCAGCATTAGGAAGGTTGAGAACCTCTGTGCTAAATGTTTACATCAAGATTTAGTGGTAAAATGCAATGTATATTCTTTTTTAAAGTTTTATTTTTGATTTCTCTGCTTTCTTTCATCAACTGTGGAAAAAAGAATCCCCCCCCCCTCCCCCAACACACTATTCAATTATAAACTGAAAAAAAATCATCTAAGTGCCATGTAATTTTATCCAAACTTCACAGAATAAAACCTGCCAATAATAACAATATTCCATGGCAACCAAGAAATCCAGTGTTGTTGAACTCACCGAGGACTTTTGTTCACTACAGCTCCAACTGCGACGTAACAGCGACATGTTTTTTAGTTGTGTTTTTTACAACTTTTATGTCATTAAAATTGTTAGATTAATTTTTGTTGGATTTCAAATGATCAATCCTTGAAGCACACAGCTGCCACATGGTAACTATAAGTTGTCTCCATTTAGACATGAAATGTAATCTTTGTCTTTGACTTGACGGTTTCATGCTACCAAATGGTCATAACAGAAAACTATAGAAAAACAATGGGACTGTGACTCCCGCATTAATTTAACGGCTGTTATTTTTAAAGGCCAAGAGAAAGGTCCAAAACTTGAAGGGACCAATTAATGTAAGCACAACACATAATCCACAATATCTGTTGACACAGCTCTGAGAAAGTGTTATATCTAAAGATCAAGATATGCAGAAATATGTAATGTGTGATATCGACTAATTTCAGGAACCCTTGTGACACCTCCTTCAGACTATGAGGCAATTAGAAAACATCATTAAGTATATACTCCAAGTAAGAAACAACAATCCTGTGCCAATACGGTCTAGCCGTACTTGAAACAAACTCCTTGAGTAACAAGGATCACTCTCTTGACTGTAGCATTTTTTAAGACTTGAGTCACCACAAGGTAGGTTTAACAAAAAAAAACAACAAAACACATTTGAAAAAACTCAAACCACCTCCTGATGTTGAATTAAAATTTTGAAGCAAAAATAAAAGGATGTCAATAAAGTACACATATGAAAAGGATCTTGTTTTTTTTTTTTTCACTCAAGATTCAAATTTACACAACACAGTCACCCAATTTCTCATTTCCAGTTTTTTTGAAAAAAAAAAAAAATTAAAAAACCCCCCCTGAAAAGGTTTTTGTTTTTTTTTTTTTCACTCAAGATTCAAATTTACACAACACAGTCACCCAATTTCTCATTTCCAGTTTTTTTGAAAAAAAAAAAAATTAAAAAACCCCCCCAACGACAATTGCTGTCATCACAGGCTCACTCCACCTCCACACCACACAGATCCAAGTTGCAGTCATTTCAGTAAACTTTCCAACCACTTTGACCCAGTGGCACAGTGTTATTCCCCCCCCCTCACCCGACCCCCTCCCCGTGGTGTGCCATGTTTCACCAAGTGGATAATTAGCTCTAATGTGAGTTGAGTGCTCACTTCAATTTGTTCATGAACATTCCCTGAACCCAAGGCCTGTTTTTAACTCCGGTTCCTACTGATGGCGTTCAAGTTGTAAACCATAAGCTTCAAAGAAAAAAAACAAAAAACAGAATAAATGAGAAACAACTGTAATTTAATTACTCATTTTAAAAGTGCATTAGTTTTAAAAAGAAATGTCTCATTAATTTGAGTATTTATATTTTTGGTACAAAATTATTGTTACTAATTTTCTGCCATTTAAAAATATTAAATTTCAAAAATTGGATAAAAATAAAAACTATAATTATGAGACAGAATACATGTTTCTATTGGTGACCTCAGAAAACTGTGCCATCTATTCTTAGCAACAGTTGTAAATATACTAGGGTAACCCCCCCCCCCCCCAATTTACAGTGCACGTGGCAGCTGTAATCTGACAGCTATCTTTATCTGTGGAGGTTTCAAAGAACTGACCCCTCCCAGCCACTGGCGGGCCTGGCAGCTAGTAGTGCCAGAAGTTTTATCTCAGCAGTTATGTTGTTACACAATACAGACAATAGTGGACTTGTTGCAGCTGAGATTACACAACTGGGTGCCCTGTTTCATGAATGGGATGACAGGATGGAGACAGACTAGCTGCTAACTCTAAGCCAGTGGCATGGGCGCCCGCAGGAAACTTTCT